TTGGGGAATTGGGGAAGGGGAACAGACAAGTTGCTGTCCTTTTGTTCTTCAGTCTAGTTGTGGAGGACGTTACTTCACTGGCCCATGTTGGTATTATGATCATTGCGCTCTTCCTGGCTGAGGCAGTGGGTCACCGGCAATTAAATGGCAGCTCATGGCAGCTCACAGCAGCTCACAGCAGCTCACAGCAGTTCTTGCCGGCTGCCAGCCGCATATGCTGGCTGTCAGCCACTCATGGTAGCTTATGGCAGCCCACTGCAGCCCACTGCAGTCTACACCATCGCCGGCCAGTCATGACAGCCCAGCTCCAGGTTGAGCTGTTGTTCACCATCTTAGCTGTAGAGGGCACAGCGTCACTGGCTCATGTGGGAACCGAACTGGTGGCTCTGCTGCTCAGAGCTTGTGCTCCCAAGCCAACTCTTAACCAACTGAGCCACTCGGCTGGCCCTTAAATATTATTTTAAATGAAAGGAACTAGACCTCTTCCACCACCAAAAAATCAATAAACAAAAACCCACATAAGTGATTTAAATTCCTAAAACCTAGTTGCAGGCAAAACTATTATAAGCTATAATATACAGAAATCACATTTAGGTATTAAAACAACAAAGAAAATTATGGAAATTACTTCCACAAAGATGGTGGGTTCTATTTTTGAGTGAAACAGGTGGTGTGATCAGGAAGGAGAATGTAGTGAGCTTCATTATTATTTTTTAACCTGGGGGGTGTTAACACCAGTGTCCAATTTAGAAGAATTTATTAAATTATATATCCTTTTCCTTTTTATCATATCCAATTTCAAAAGTATTGTCCTTATTATTAGTTACTTTATTCTAGAAAAATATTATATTTTACTTTTGCATGTATTAAAACTCCATGTTATTTTTAAACAATTATCTTTTTTAAATTAAATAAAAAGAGAAAAATCTTACATATTTATTCACGTAGTTTCCATATCTGATGCTGTGTATGCCTTTGTGTAGATTCTTATTTCCAACTGGCATCATTTTCTTTCTGCCTGGACAACGTCCTTTAATATATCTTGAGTGTGGGTCTGCTGTTGTGAATTCTCTTTGCTTTTTATGTCTAAAAAAGTCTATTTCTCCTTTAGTTTTAAAAACTATTTTGTCTGGGTATTCTAGGTTGAGAGGTTTAGTCTCTCTTTCAGTACTTTAAAGATGTTGTTACACTAGATTCTTATGTTATTTTTTTAAAGAAATATTCTATCATCCTTATTTGTTCCTCTCAGCATAACTTTTCCCCTGGCTATTTAATATTTTCTTTTTAAAACTACTTTGAGAAATTTGATTATGATGTGTTTTGGTGTAATTTTTGCTTTGTTTCTTGTGCTTGGGGCATACTGACCTTCTCGGGTCTATGGGTTTATAGTTTTCATCATATTTGGGAGAATTTGGGTCATTATTTCTTCTACCCAGCCTCGCCTTTTAGGCCACTCTAATTACACATCTACTAGGCCCCTTGAATGTCTCCAAAGCTGAATGATGCTTTTTATTTTTTTTTTAAATTATTTTACCTTCTTGTTTCATTTTAGATAGTTTCCATTTCTATGTCTTCAAGTTTACTCATGTTTTCTTCTGCACTGTTTAATCTGATGTTAATCCCATCCAGTGTATTTTTCATCTCAGATATTGTAGCTTTAATTTCTAGGAGTTCCATTGGGGTCTTTATTAATACCCTCCTTGTATCTTAACTTTGTGGACGCCTGGAATGCAATTTTTATAACAACTTTCAATGTCCCTTGTCTGTTAACTCTAATACCTATGCCAGTTGTAGGTTGGCTTTGTTTAATTTTTTTTTTTCATTTTGGGCCATATTTTAAGGCTTCTTTGCAGAACTGATAACCTTTGATTGGATGTCAGGCCATAAATTTTTACCTTTTTGAGTGCTGTATATTTTTGTGGTCCTATAGATATTTATGAGCTTTATTCTGTGATGCAGTTAAATTACTTGGAATTAGTTTAATCCTTTTGGGTCTTGCTTTTAAAATTTGTTAAGCAGGACCAGAGCAGTATTAGCTGAGAGCTAATCATTTTCCACCACTGAAGCAAGATCTTTCTATGTAGTCAGTCTACCTAGAGTCTTGTGAAATATGAGATTTCTCAGAGTTTTATTCCATTTGGGCCACTATAACAACAACAAAACAAACTTGTGAACTGCATGGCATATACACAATAGAAATCTATTTTTCTCAATTCTGTTGGCTTGGAAGTCCAACCTCAAGGAGCTGGCAGATTTGGTGTCTTAACCACTTCTTAGTTCATAGACAGCCATCTTACTGTGTTCTCACATGGCAGAACAGGCAATGGAGGTCTTTGGGTCTCTTTTATAAGGGTACTAATCCCATTCATGAAGGCTCCACAGTCATAAACTAACCATCTCCCAAAGGCCCCACATCCAATATCATCACATTGCACGTGAGGATTTAACAACTTAATTTGATGCATTTTGACAAGCATTTTGCCTATAGCATATAGTTTTACTGGTAGGGACAGACAATCTTCTGTGCCCTTTGTGTGTCCTGGTACCTGTTTTCTCTAACCCTCTTGGATGGTTCTTTCCCAGCCTTGTTTCCTCATAGGTATGTGTTTATTAATTCTGTGCTGAATCCTTGATAGGGACACTTCATAGATCTCTGTAATTGTCTCTCCTTTCTGGTACTCTGTGATGCAAATTGTAGCAGGCTTAGTCTCCTGGATTCTCAACAGAGTCTCTGACTTGGGAAGCTCACTGTGCTCCAGCTAGGTTCCCATCCCTGCACCATGGCCTGAAAACTTTCTGAACGCCATCTTCTGGATCTATCAGAAGGCTCATCTCATTTGTTTTCTATCTCTCAGGGATCACTGTTCTTCACTGCCTGATGTTTACTTCCTTGAAATCTGTTATTTCATATAGTTTGTCTGACTTTTTATTTTCAGACAGGAGGGTAATTCTGGTCCAAATTATCCCATTTTGCTCAGAAATGGAAGTTCCTATTCAAAAATTTCTTTGAATAACTTGTAGTTTTTAAATTTAAATTTTCTTTTCTAAGATAAATCATATTTAAAGTTTGATAAAGTTAATTTTAATCCATTAATTTGTAGTTATTTTGTCATAAAATACTTTCTTAGAGACAAAATTATTTACTAAATAATTTCTTATTTCAGTTAAAATTTAGGAGGTATTAAAAATAAAGCTACTATGAACATTCTCATCAAGTTTTTGCATGGGCATATGCTTTTATTTCTTTTGGGCAAATATCAAATAATAGAATGTCTGGATCATGTAATAGGTGTATGTTTAACTTTTTAAGAAATTTATGTATGTCTGCTTCAAAGTAGTTCTGCTAGTTTATATCCCACCAATTCATATACCCATCAACAAGTGAATGGATAAATATTTTATACAATGGAGTAGTATTCAGTAATTTAAAAAAAGAATGAACTGTTGATGTATGCAACAACATGGATGAATTTTGTCATAATTATGCTGAGTGAAAGACATTGGATAAAGAGTTATGATGTATGATTCCTTTTATATAACATTCTAGAATATGGAAACTAACATATAGTGAGAGAAAGTGGATGCCTGGGAATGGTGATTGT